TTTGCAAAAATAGTGCAAGGGTGAGTGGCAAAAAGACTTTAGGCATTTGAGTTAACAGCAAATGCAAATACTTCTAGACTGTAGATTATATGCACCACAGGGAAATTCCGTAAGAGTCTGTCTTGTGTCTCAGAGCCTTTACTAGTCAGAACGATCTGGGCGCCTAAGTCATTAGCGCAGTACCGTCTGCATTTCCGTCACATGAACTCCAGACCCCCTAGTGTACACCTCGCAACCTATAAATCGACCAGTCAGCGTCAGCACAGCTTCGAGGCCTATTATGCAGTCTCGTACTCCTCAGCGGCGCCACCCCCGCCGGCCCCCGCCTCCCCCTGGGACTCCAAGAAGCACCGCTCCCGGGACCGCAAGCCGGGCTCCCATGCCTCCTCCTCCGCCCGCCACCGCTATCGGTCCCGCTCCGCCCGCCGCCGCTCCCGCAGCCCCGACCGCCGCCACGGAGGCAGCCGCCGCTCCAGGTCCCGGGAGAAGCGGCGTCGGAGGCGGCGCTCGGCCTCTCCGCCCCCGGCCACCTCGTCATCCTCCTCCTCGAGGCGCGAGCGGCACCGAGGCAAGCACCGGGAAGGCGGCGGCAGCAAGAAGAAGAAGAAGCGGTCTCGGTCCCGGGGTGAGAAGCGGTCGGGGGACAGCGAGAAGGGCCCGGTGCTGGCCCAGCCGCCCTCCGGCGCCACCTCCCTGGGCGCGGAGCGCGACCGCCGCCGGGGCGCGGTGCCGCCCTCCATCCAGGACCTCACGGACCACGACCTCTTCGCCATCAAGCGGACCATCACCGTGGGCCGGCCGGACAAGTCGACCCCCGCGGCCCGTCGCCCGCCCCGGCCTCGTCGCCCAAGCGCGAGGTGCTGTATGACTCGGAGGGACTGAGCGCCGAGGAGCGGGGCGGCCGGAGCGGCGAGAAGGACCCGGCGCCGCGCGGGGGCGGCCTCCTCCTCCCGGGAGAAGGGATCCCGGCGGAAGGCGCTGGACGTGGGGGATCGGGACCGGGAGAGGGACAGAGAGAGGGACAGGGACAGGTCGTCCAAGAAAGCCCGGCCCCCCAAGGAGTCGGCGCCCTCAGGGCCCCCGCCCAAGCCGCCGGTCAGCAGTGGCTCAGGGTCCTCCTCCTCGTCGTCGTCCTCCTCCTCCCGGAAGGTGAAGCTGCAGTCCAAGGTGGCGGTGCTGATCCGGGAGGGCGTCAGCAGCACCACGCCGGCCAAGGAGGCCGCGTCCGCCGGCCTGGGCTCCATCGGGGTCAAGTTCAGCCGCGACCGGGAGAGCCGCTCCCCCTTCCTCAAGCCCGAGGAGCGGGCTCCTGCCGAGG